ACCTGGTTTCTTCCTGCTGCTTAGAGTAAAATATGAGAGGAAAGAGAGAAGTAAACAAAACAAAACAAAACAAAAAACCTATGAAGCCAAAGGAACCAGAAGTTAATGGTTTGGGATTATCTTATCCAGATTTTATAGTACATTAAAATTAGGAGATTCATGGCCAGTAAAGTGTGCTCTGGAAAGAAAGCCAAGGATGGGGGTTGGACGATGTTCTGTCAGTGCCTTGCAAGGACCAAAGAGTCAGAATATTCAATCATATAGAAGGCTTGCAGAAGATAGTAGGTATATGAAGGCTGCATTTCATCAGCTTTCTCAGTAGAGGCCAGGAATAGACATGTGTTTATCCAGGGAACATTTGTGAAGGAGCCTCTTGTCTAATGAAGTGAATTCAACAGACACAAATGGAAGACCCACAAGGATTTTTAGAATGTTATGTCAATGGAAACACTGCAAGCTTGGAATAGAAGGCACAAAGACACAGATAAAGGAAGGCTATCCCATCCCAACAGCCCTATAAGCAGGAAATAGCCTGATGAACCTGCTTGGCTACAAACCTGTCCCATCCTTCAGGAAACAAGGACAAATCTGAGGGCAGAGCCAGAGGTCCAGAGGATGGATGCTCAAGCCACAGAGGATTATTCTTGAATTCTAGTGCCCTTTGCCCTGCTGGGTTTTTGAAATTGCTTGGGAGTGGTGATTGTGTCTTTCCTTCCCGCTTTATCCCTTTGGATGAGGGATACCTATAACTATTGACTCTTACCCTATGCCAGCCTCCCCATTGTATTTTAGGAGTAGATAACCTATTTTCTACTTTCACAGACCCACAGATGGAGAGGGATTTTGTTCTATGATGGATTAGACCCAGAGCCTCATCTGTACCTAATTTGGATGATTTAGATGATGAGATTTGGGACTTTTGAGCTGATAAGACTTAGATGAGAATTTGGATTTGAGTTGTTGCTGTAATCAGTTGAGACTTGGGGGGATCTTAGGGTGAGAGGGATATATTTTGCATGTGAGATGGATATGAGTTTTTTGGGGCCAGATGGCAAACCATACAATAGACCAAATAATGGCTTCCCGAAGGTATCATATCCTAATCCCTGGAACTGGAGAATATGTTACCTTATAAGGAACAAGGGACATTGGAGATGCAATTATGTTATGATCTTGAGACAGAGAGATTATCCTAGATTATCCAGATGACCCTGATGTAAAAGGTAGGCTGTAAAGTCAGAGTGAGAGAAGGTGACATGGGGACAGAAGCAGATTGAAGTGTTTCTGTTTGAATATGGATCACCAACCAGGGAATGCAGGTGCCTTCCTGCAGCTGGAAGAGTTGCAGAAACACATTCTCCCCTAGAGCTTCTAGAAGAAATGCAGCTCTTCAGACACCTTGGTGTCAGCCTATAAAGCCCATTTAGGACTTCTGTCCTCCGGATATATAAGGTTAATAAATTTATATTGTTTTGAGCCACTAAATTTATGGTGATTTGGTATAGCAGTAACGGAAAAGTATTACGGTACCATAATAAATATTAATATTGTTCCTTTTAATGTGTACACTTTGCCTCAGTGATAGATACCTTTCTTCTATATGTTATTCAGGTGATTTTTTTAAACAGAAAGTATTAAGCAGAGGGGGACATTTCATCACGAAGAAACGTCTTCATTTTACATTATCCCTGATATACTATATTGCAATGAAGTGAAATATATATGAAATGGACCCAAATGTACTATTTTAAAAACTTGATATTTGTTATTTATAACAGGTTTCTAAAATATCTTGATCTAAATCTGTTCAACCTTCTAGACAATATCATTCTCCTCCAGAAGTCCCTTTTCCCCTTAGAAATTGCACCTCTAATCTAAAATTTGCAATCTGTAACCTACAACCTTGAGTTACTATTAACACCAGAATTGCTAACGATTTTTCTACAATGTGCAATAGAATTGAATTTCATGTGGAACTTTTTATTTGGCTTAACAAAATTGATAAAAAATGTGCTAAATATAAATTTTGAAAGAAATTTGTATATATATATATTTTGGTTGGTCTGAATCTGGGGACCATATGGCTTAATAGTTGAGCATTCTTTTCCAAGCTTTTCAGATTGTACATTCCTATCATTTCATATTTTAAGCACTACCCACAGTATATGCAAATTTTTATATTTCTATACAGACTCACTATATTATGTGTATTGTATACCATATACGAAAACAATTTTTAGGGGCGCCTGGGTGGCTTAGTCGGTTACACGTCCGACTTTCGCTTAGGTCATGATCTCGCGGTTCGTGGGTTCGGGCCCCGCGTCGGGCTCTGGGCTGACTGCCAGCTCAGAGCCTGGAGCCTGTTTCAGTCTGTGACTCCCTCTCTCTCTGACCCTCCCCTGCTCACACTGTCTGTCTCTCTCTCCTAGAAATAAATAAAAATACAAAAAAAAAAAAAAACCCGAAAACAGTTTTTAAAGAAACATAGTGATTAAAATGAATCTTTCATATTTTCTTATACTCCCAAAGGTCATTTTATATATACTTACAAAGATGTGCATAGCCAGTTTAGAGACTGCTGGCTACAAAGCTTGGGTGGGAGAGAAGCCGACTTTGTCTGGGGACTAATTAGCTCCTTCTTTCCTAATCATTGTGATGTCTGACAAAGCCAATTGGTTAGTTGAGTAAATTAATTCACTTAAGCACATCAGATACTTAGCAACTAAAAAGGGCTTAACCAACAGTAAGGTAGTCACTGTGGTTATTATTCTAATACTTGTCCAAAGAGCATATTAGACCTTTTGCTTGTGTTTCTTCTGGGTTTCATCCTTCCTTGGGGAAAGAAAAAAGTGACTTTTTGGTAATCAAAGAGTTGTCCTTCTTGAGAAATGAATGTATTTTTAATTTCCACGCTCTCTCTCTACCTGCAATGCTTAATTTCAGTGACCTCAGTGTTTCGATCACTCTGCCTTTCCACTAGATTTTGTGCTTTTACTGGTTTACACTTGTCGATTTGGTAATGTATGTTTTGTGTTTGCACATGTTCTGCTAAGACAGACTTCTGGGGAACTGAAAACACTTTTTATTTTATGTAGCTTCCATCCCATCCCTTCTACAAGCTAGGGAGTAAATGCTTTCTTAATCAGAAATTTTATTATACAAAGCTTTCCCCAAGATGATAGGGTACCATCAGTTCAGTGAGAGCACAGCCTCTTATTTCAGAGAAACAGGCTGTAAGTAAGGAAAGGGCATTCTCATGTTTTCTCCTCCATCTTTTGCCTCCTAGGTTCTTCTCAGCGAGCATGATCCATGCACCCTGTATTTATTTATAAGTAATCCCTTCCCTTATTTTTAATTAACTAACCCTTCTAAAAGAGTTTGCGATTTATTAAGTGCTTTCCCACTTGTGGGAAGAGTCGCGTAAGTTCATTTAATTGCAGCAGAATGATTTAGTGGGAAGAAAGATGTTGGCTTCTTACACTTGAGTCTAAGAGATTTGTATTCCTTTGTGTTTTGAAACCACCACTTCCTTCTCTGACCCCCACCCCCTGGTGTACACACCCCCACTCAGGGCAGTCAGGTATAAAATTAGAAGGGAAAGAAATAATGCAAGCATGGAAAATATGAGATAACATTTCTAAAAATAATTCTGGTAACAGAAGCAGTCCACTTTGAGAGCAATAAGAGGGTGTTAAGTCCTCTCCAGACTGCATTTCTCAATCGTTCTTCTTTGGTGCTGCCTTATGTAGCAGACGAGAACCTCACATTTCTCAACAGCTTTCCTGGGTCATTTACCTGTGATTTTAGAAGATTGCCCAACATGTGATGGCAAGCTTCTTTTTATATCCCAGAGAAGTACATGTTCCCACCAGACTTCTTTGTTGTTTATTTCCTCCTCTTACTGTCCCGTTGACTTCTGCCTGCTATGCGGGGCCAGCCTTTGGTTAAGTTGTGAAATTTGAAGAATGTTCTTTAGACTTCTCCAACTTCCGTCACCTCTCTGCGGCAAGCTGATGAGATGTCTTGTTAGAGAATTATTAAGCCCATTCTATCTCCTGACAATTAAAACTAGGGCAGGTTGGAGAGAAGTTATAGGGAAAGAATTTAAGCTAGCATGAGGACAAATTGCTTAAGAACAAAGGCTGTTCAAGAATAAGAAGACTGACTTGGGGCAGTACACACACACACACACACACACACACATAATTGTGTATATATATAATATATATAACAGTACCTTTTACAAAAGTAATGCATTCTCACTGTAAGAAGTAAAAATAAATCAGAGGTATAGAAAGAATAAAACATGAATTTCTCTTTTCCTACCCCCTTAAGACCTAGTGTAAATAATTTAGTGTGGATCATCCCATCCATTTTCTATGCCCTTTCTCAGTATTTTTGGAGATGTTCCTATAAATATGTCTTATTACAGCAGCTGGAGGGAACCATTAAGCACAGCTCACCACTCGTGTTTAGCACCTTTCAGTGAATCCCCATTCGCGCAGAGTAGAGGGCAAAATCCAGGGATGGGCTGGCTTCCCCGCTACAACTCTGACGTCATTTCTCTCCCTTCCTCCTCACTTCCTGTGTGTTAGCTACCCTGTTCCCCATGATTTTCCTTAAACACATAAGGCCCCCTCCAGCCATGAGGCCCCAGAAGTGTCTGTTCTCTGCCTGGATTACTCTTTTCTCTGATACTCGTGTGAATAATTCTTTCATCTTTATGCCTCTACTCAGATACCATTTTCTCAATGATTTGTGATTTTCCTACCCTGTTGCTCTGCTTATTTATAGAAAGAGATTCAGGGAGATTAAAACCCTGCACCACTTCTGCAGTATTCTTCCCAGAAACCTGCTCCATGCTTGCTTTTAATACAACAAATAGATAGAAGTTATGCTGGTATAATTTCTGTTGTTAAATCTTCTCTCACAGCATGCCCTTTTATAATCCTTTTTGTGAGTTTATTTTATTAATTTAGAGAGAGACAACATGCGTGCATGCCAGCGGGGGAGGGGTAGAGAGAGAAAATCCCATGAATGCTCCTTATTGTCAACACAGATTCAGGGTTCAATCCCAGGAACCACGAGATCATGACCTGAGTTAAAATCAGGAGTTGGACTCCTAAGGCATATTCACTGGGGGGCGGTGGGGGAATGCTGGAAAACCCATACATTTTCTTCATAATCCAAAGACATGCATTTCAAATGGTGGAATTCAGACTTCGAGCGTAAGCATTTTTCTTGCTTCCAGGAGGATGTTGTCTGTACCTAACAGTCAAAGAATAGAAACCTTTAGTCTTAGAGAATATTTCTTCTTTCATTACAGTCCAGGGAAATTCAAAAGAATTTAGAATCCATCAGTTTCTCAAATACAATTTTTATCACTTGAAGAACATGATGCATCTAGATAGGAAAGGTCAACAAGAAAAATGACTTTCCAGCCCTGAGCAATTTTGGAGTAGTTACTTTTTCATCTAGTTCCTGAAAGCGAGAAACTAGAGAGTAAAAACAGTGTATGGTCCTGCCAGCTGCAATGCCAAGATAACTACCTTTTCACAGGAAGGGACATGTCATAAGAATTGGGACACTGGTTGGAATTAAATGAGATCATCTTGATATTGATGATATCTCCTTGGAGTTACATATTGCTGAATCCCTTGTCTGTTTTCTCTGTTTTTAATTAACTAGGTTAATACCTTTTTTTTTACTTTGCCTTCACCATCTCAGAAATAGAGAAGACAGAGTTTTCTTCGTCCCCTAGCATCTTTTTCACTATTCTTTCCAATAACATGTGCTTTGGCTTCCATCACACACCTATACATGGACAAATGAAATAAACTATCTAATAATATTGGATTAATATCAGTGATATTTCAGAGGGGAGGCAGTATTCTGGGTGGAGAGTGGTTAAAATATGCAACTTATAATTTTGTATTTAAATTAAGCAAGAACATATAAGATTACTTTTCCAATAGAAACATAAAACTAATCCTCTGATTTCCTAGTATCAAATGCATTGTTTTTTAAATGCATCAACTGTCAAATAAAATGGTCAAATGTTCCTGGTGTGTTAGCTGGAAGTGACTATGTGCTTGGTTCATTGCCAGGGGATTCTCTAAACATTCTCTCAATATTTATTTCACTAATATAATAAGTGTTGACGTCAATACTCCTTCCTTGCTTCCAGCTCCATTCACTCCATGATGGTATCAAATAGTTTCCTGGATGAAAGAGAGAATCATAAATATTTTATTGTGGTAGACTCATTATGTCGAATACTTCCTAATCTCTTTGAACTGTTTATTTTTTATTTTTAATGGGACATGGTCTGAATGACAGCTGTGGATGTTGACATTATACATGTTATTTGGAATATTTACATGAATTTAACCATATTTTGACTTTTGACTTTGATGTATTTAATCTATCTATCTATCGATCGATTGATCGATTGATCTATTTTCTTTGCATGTTACAGTAAAGGATATTACTTCTATTATATGGCAAATATTTACTTGTATTAATGGTTATGAATTTCACTTTCATTTTGCATCTACCCTAAAGTTCACTGAGCTGATGATTATTTCATGTGTACTCTATGCAAAGGTCTGTACTAGCTAAAAAGACCCCTACCTCTGGTTGTTTATCATTCAGACATGGTAGCACATTCCAAGAAATGCCAAGTTCAGTTTTGGGAGAAAAAAGGCTTCTTGTATCTTGGAATCTTCTCAATGAATTGTTCAGGATAATGAATACACTAGCTTTAACTTTTTAAAATTCAATATTAAACACCAATCAGCATTTATCCAAAATTTATTCTGTTAATTTTGGATACTGTTAGACCCCACCATGAAAATCTAAGCAGCCAAAGTGGATTAAAAATGCTCATAAAATAGTCGTCACATAGTGAAGAGCTAAACTTCTAAATTTATTTTGAAATGTCCCATTTATTTTGAAATAACACCATAAGCAAAATTGAGAGCTTTGAAAGGGGGTGCAGCTTTGAAAGGGGGTATAGTAGTGACTTGCACAGTAACCATGGGAAATAATATCCACATGTCCAGGAAATAAATTGGATTTGTATATTTTATCTGATTTTAACTTCAAATATATATAAATATGTCAAATATATGCATGATATAAACTTTCAAATTTGATAACTTAATTACATTAATACATTGACAGAAACTCTGGGCGTTAGGAACTATACATTAGTGAGGTCCTGTTTGACAGAACACTGGGCTTTTTACTGTTCAAAGCAAAATATAAGTACTTAGAGGTTAGGCTCCCAGGGATTCTGAGATATCAGTCCTACGATATAGCTGTAAGTCAAAGATCCAAGCTCCAATCCACAAAGCTCCAGGGCCCCACAAAGCAAGTTTAGAGGTTCTTTAAATAACAAGTGCTAAATCCTACTTTCATAATACTGGCAAGAATTGAAGTTCATGAAAAATAAATTGTAAATCTGGTGTGCTTGTCCACCGGTATTACTCTCTGCCCTTCCAGATTTATTCTCAGCCTTGCTTTCTACCCAAGGAGCTTCATTACAGGAACTGCAAAGCCAGGGATCTTCCCCTCTGGCCCCTGGCCCGGCTTTCTCAGTGAGAGTTATCAGCATATGAACAGAGTGGTTATGTAGCTCTCCTCCATTTTCTTGCTGGGCTGTCACTCTACAGCTATGGCTTTTACAGGGTGACCCCCTCATCAACGTCTACACTTCTCTCTAGGTTCTCATAACACAACTTTCTCCTCCTCTCCAGGCTTAGAAGCTCAATGTCTGGACTGGTTGAGCCTCAGTAGGCACTTCTGGGCATGTCACCATCCCTTTATGATTCTGTTAATCTTGTCCTACATCAGCAAATATTCCCTCCATTGAACTCTCTCCAACTAACCCTCTGAGTTAATTGAGTGAGTGTTTTTCAGTGCCCTGGCAGAGCCTTGCTGACACACCTGGTTTGGTCATCTTCATTGCCATGTCCCCACCTATGGGTCACTCCACCTCAGCCTCATTCCAGATTAGCAGTAGTTTAGTAACGACCACCCCACCAGAAAAGAGTAATAGCTTACCATATGCCAGAGTGAATGTTCAACACAGGCTGGAAAATCTACCAGTGTTTTATCTGTATTATCTCAATTATTAGACTCACAATAATCCGTGAAGTAGCTCTAATTATCATTTCCATTCTATAGATGAAGTCAGTAACTTGGTTGAAGTGTCTCATCCAGAGAGTCGTGGGGCAGACCTTCAACCCAGGAACGGTAGCTCTGGAAAAGTAGTCAACTACTTGGCTTTATTTCTTTTTTATAGATAGTTGCCTAAATAGTTGGTGTGAGTGCCCAAACAAAGAATTTTTTTTTTTTTTTTATCTCAGAATACCTATATTGCCTTCACCTTATCTGAGTCTGAGATTCCCGCATTGAAAGGCTAGATCTCAAGGACTATAATATAATATGGACAGAAGCAGCACCTCTCCCACACATGAGATGTGTTGTCTGTAGTTGGTTTGTAACCTGGACTCACAATGATGGGTGTAGAGTCTGAAGGTGCAGGTGTTGGACAGACCGGATGCCACAGGAATAGACTGTCTCTCACGTAAACACTGGTGGCAGCAAGGAGACTCATACTGGGAAGTGTAACTGAAGGCTCGAAAGTTGCCCTAGGGGCTTAGTGGGAAGACGGAACACAGACCAGGAGAGGATCCACCAACAGTGAATCTTCAGCGTTGGAGAACTTGGTTCTGAAGATACCCATCGTCTGTTTCACATGCTTGACTAGGGCCTGGCTTTCAACTTGAAGCTTCCATTTTACCTTCCCAAATATTCTTCACAACAGTAGTTTAATTCTTACAAAATGCCAAAGCACTATATCCCCCTAGAGCAGTCAAAAATAACTCTGAGCCTGAGTTTTAGAAGCTACAACCCAAATATTCAATCCATTACTCGGATTATATCACTGTCACCTTTTTAATGGTCACCTCCAGTTTAATGTAAGCTTTTCTTGTTTATTTTATTCTTTCAATTTTTTCTTTCTTTTCCTAATTCACTTATTCCCTCCTCTTAAAGATTTTCCTCCCCCGAAGTTCATCTATTCTTAGTTTCAGAAATCAGGGCCCTGTACCAGTTGAACTCTTCACCTGTGACAAGAATAATCAGGCCACGGGCATCTGGAAGTCAGGTACTCCAAGGTGAGTAATACTGTCCCTCATTGTGCTCTGTGGCTTTCATGCTCCCCTCTCCCCTCAGGAAACAATGTCTCTCATTCAATTTTAAAAGTTAACAGATTAGAATGCAGTCAGACAAAAGCAAAGCTGTGCAATTGTCCGGTTCTAACCAAGCTTTTATGATGAAGCCTTTGTGTCCCTCAGACAAGAGTGTATTTAGAGTTTGAAGAAGAAGAAAAAAAGTGCCTGTGCTAATACCATCTCCATCTGATGTAAACAGGCATCGTGCCTCCAAACAGCACTTCCCTTTAAAATCAATATTAGCATACTGTACATAAGGTTTGTTTTTTTTTTCCTGCCTTGGCTAGTTAGAACAAAAAACAAAGAACTGCCTAGATACCGAGAAAACAGTGGGCATTCTGTTCTTACCAGTTAAACCATCTCTTCAATCACTTGGAAAGAACAATGCTCATAATATTATTTAAGACACGTTGTCATAAGTGTTCAAATGAATAGATACCTAGGAATACTGAGTGTTGAGCAAAGCAGAATGAAAGTATAAGTCAGAATGGGGGATCACAACCATGCCTTTGGCATCATGTTTTGTTGCTAGAATGCTGATAGAACCCAGAGAAAGGAAATAGATGGCAGCTTAGGAAGAGGAAAAGAAAAGGGAGACCCTGTAACTAACCTTTGTCCCAAATACTTCCAGCAGTTACCCCTTTATGACTTACCCTCAGGTAAAAACATGGGGGGAAATGCAGGCCAATGGACACTCATCTAAGCTTCCTTGAGCTGCAAACCGATGGTGAAAATTTCATATAACAGTGTTATATAATATTACCTGTCTTCACATTTGTTGAAGAGGCCAACCATTCTGCTAAATAGTTTCTCCCTGGAATTGTAGTGTGTGTGTGCATGTCCTAGAAGCAGGAAACTGAGAGTCTGATTAAAATGAAAAACACAATCTGAACAGACATTAACCAAATTTTGACTTTTATGTCTCACCCAGAGAGTTTCATTTTAATCAATTCCATTCGAATACTAAAGAACTCTAAAAAATTATGTATTATTTCTTGGCCTGGGGGAGCTGAATTTTCACTGTCTATATTAGATGACATTAGAAATAGTACTAAGAAATAAAACGTATTTAAACTTATTTTTACAAGGTATTTACACTTCTCGAATTACTTCCAAAATCGCGTCGGCCCTCTCTCATTTAGCATTTTTTTCATTTAACATTTTAAAAGAATGATATTTTCATTTGTGATCTGTTACAACCACAGTCTTTTAAAAAACAAACTCAAGCCATGCCCTCATTTTTATCAACATGTCTCTTCATTTCAACAATCATTGATTTGTCTAACTTTAAAATTTCTCAACGCATCCATAAAATACACTCTCCCTGGCATGAGTCATGTTATTACAATGTTTCAGGAAGTTCATTGCAGGACTAGCTAAGGACACCCAACTTATAAAATGAAATGATGTGCTGGCTTAAACAATTGGTGTTAGGAAGGGTGGGCATAAGTCTGTTTGCCATACGTAAACAGTAGTCTCAAATCATAGATGACCAATATTTGAACTGAGTAATCATTCTGAGAACCATAAAGATGGATGAGAACTAAAACCTTTCAGCCCATTCTTTAGACAATCATTTTCTTAAATCCTTGGGAAAGTGAGATGTTGAATGTTAAGAGGAGATTGATATTTTATAGGAACAGGTAACTTTGGATCAGGAAGTGATCTTAGCATTTTGTTTTTCACATGGAGTATGTAACTGTCCTGTGCTTTTTTAAAGATTCAGCTATTTGGGGCGCCTGGGTGGCTCAATTGGTTAAACATCTGATTCCTGATTTTGCTTTAGGTCATAATCTTACACTTCTTGGCTCGAGCCCTGCACTGGGGTTCTCTCTCTCCTCTGCTCTCTGCTCCTGCCTGGATTGTGCTCACTCATATGTTTGTACATGTGTACCCGCGCTCTCTCAAAATAAACAAATACGAACTTAAACTAAACTAAACTAATATAAAAAATCACCTACTGAAAGCAAAGCCTGCTGCTAGGATTTCCCCTGTGTCCCCTGGTTATTTATCTACCTAATCCCCCCATGCCTTTTTCTCCCTGATCCTAACATGGTGAAGAGGGACCTCTCTGAAATCTCTTTTATAAGGGCACCAGTCTCATTCATGAGAGCTCCACCCTCATGCTTAATAGCTTCCCAAAGGCACCTCCTCTTAAAACCATCTCTCTTGAGGTTAGGATTCCAATATATGAATTTTGGGGGGATGTAAACATTCAGCCCTTAATATATATGAGACACTGGCTCCCAAATGCTAACTGCTAGGTCTCTGTTGTCCTGAAGGACTCGTGTCCTTCAAAGAAGAGGGAATTAAAACATAGGCACACACAGAGGAAAGACCATGTGAAGATACAGGGAGAAGAAGACCATCTACAAGCCAAGGAGAGAGGACTCAGAGGAAACTACCTTACCAACACCCTAATCTTGGGCTTCCAGCCTCCAGAACTGTGAAGAATTACATTTCTGTTGTTTAAGCTGTTTAGTCTGTGGCACTGTTTTACGGCCACCCTAGCACACTAATATAATTTCTGTTTCTAAATCTCATACACTGTTACAACAGTTTTCAAAACTGGACATTTCATACTCCTTTAATGTGATAGCCTTATGCTGTGTATGTTCTCGGGATCTGGTTGTTTTTCTAAAAACAATGTGACATCAAATAAATGATTCACATGTTTATTTTCTTCAACATGAAACTATATATATTTTATTATCCTTATACTGTAAAAGCCAACATACCACTGATATTTGTAGTGGAATTGTATAGAATGTATAGGTCAAATCTATAGAACAAACATCATTAAAATATGGATACTTCCCAACCACGAAGTGTTCTCCTTTTATTTTGACCCATTTTAAAATCTACTGATAAATTTTACAAAGTTTTCTATAAAGGGCTTCTGTAGGGTCTGTGTCTATATATCTGTTGCTTTGCTGAATTATAGCTTTTGTTAAGTTTCCTCTCTATCTTAGGTGCATAGAAGTACAATTGATTTCTCTATTTGATTGTATATACAATGAAATATACTTAAGTCTCTTTTCATAATTTCCTTACATGATTTTTTTTCTTTTAGGCAATGACATCAGCTATTAATGTGGCATATTTATTTTATTGCCTTTCATTTTTACACTCTTTATGTTGTTTTTGTTTTGTTAGGGGTCTAAGTTGGAATCCCAACTAGAATGCTACATACACATGTGTATAGACTGTATACATGTACTATAACATAAATTATATACATAATACTAAAATAGAAATATTTTTAATTTTTAGTAGCAAGCTCTGTACTTACTGATTTTTATGTTCTTTAGCCTATTTAAGATGACAACTTCTATTCTTAGTTTGTGATCATAATTTCAGAAACATATTTCCTGATCCAAATCATCCTCTTAATCTTGGGACAAACTCCAATTGGTCTTGATGTATTAGCTTTTTCATTTAATGTTACATTATATATATATTTTTTGAATTGTTGAATTTGTGTGTGTATATATATATATATACATATATATATATATATACGACTGACCTATCTGCCAGATAAATGTATATTTCTCTTCTTATTTTGATTATGTACCATTTAATGCATAATACTTTATATTTTATGATTATATATTTATGAATATATTTCTTTTTGGGATCTATGTTCTGAGATTTTACATTTTTCAATGCAATGCCTATAAAAGTCCTCAAATCCAGGATTGTTCATTCTAATTCATTATTTTTAAATACTTTGATGGTTTCATATTTCTTCTCAAGATTTACATCTGTATCATGTATATTAGTCTTTAATAAGATATGATTATTGGATAGCTTCTCTGTTCCCATCAATTCATATGATCATTGATCCTTATATATCTGGATAGATACCTCTGACTTCATAATACATTTGTTATTACTATTATTGCTTCAAAACTTAGTGGCTTAAAAGAAAAATAAATCTTTGCTATCGTAGAGTTTCCGTTGTTCAAGAATTTAAGTGCAGCTGAAGTGGATGGTTCTGGCTTGCAGTCTTTAAAGAGGTTACAGTCAATGTGTGCCCAGAGCTGTAGTCATCTCAAGGCTTGACTGAGGTTGGAAGATTGACTTCCAAGATGGCTCACCTAAATTGCTTGCGAGTTGCTTCTGACCGTTGGCAAGAAGCCTCAATTCTTTGACACATGGACTTCTTTGGGGTTTCTTGAATAGCCTCAGAACATAGTAGTTAGCTTCTCCCAAAGCAGGAGATGCAAAAGGGAATAAGACAAAAGCCCCGGTGTCTTTCCTAGGCTTACATCAAACGCCACACATATTCATTTCTACAATAGCCTATTTGTGCACAGGTCAGCACTGCTCAATGTTTGAAGGAAAAAAATAAGGGCATGAATGAGTATCAGGAGATATCTGGGATATCTGAGTATCTGGGAGCTATCTTGGAGGCTTGCACCATATTGGATCTATATTGGTAGTTCGTGAATGAACTACCCATTCTTTTTCTTTAATTAAACTGAATATCCCTTCCAAACGTACAATAGTGTATTACTCAAGAGGACAATGCATCTCAAGTTATTTCTCTGTTGTATTTTTTAAAATATTTATTTTTAGGGGCGCCTGGGTGACTTAGTCAGTTAAGCGTCCGACTTTCGCTTAGGTCATGATCTCGCGGTTCGTGGGTTCCAGCCCCGCGTCGGGCTCTGTGCTGACTGCCAGCTCAGAGCCTGGAGCCTGTTTCAGTCTGTGACTCCCTCTCTCTCTGACCCTCCCCTGCTCACGCTGTCTCTCTCTCTCTCTCCTAGAAATAAATAAAACATTAAAAAAAATTAAAATATTTATTTTTGTAGGTGAATTTCAGGATCATTTTGTCAGTTTGAAAACACATTGGCAGAATTTTTTCTTAAGGCATAATTTACATATAATAAAATTCACGTATCTTAAGTAGGTGAGGTTATTAAGTGGCATTACCCTGATGTGTATTAAAATATCGAGAACTGCCACCTTGATCATAATATGTCTTCCGCCTATGATTAGAGTATGTCTTTTCATTTATTCATTAAGTTTTCTACCTTGTTTCTCAATAGTTTTTTTTTTTATTTCTTCAATGAATATTTGTTATACTTATTCCTAGGTATTTTATACCTCACTTCTACTGTGAATGAGATTTTTTTCCCGTTATTTTTCCAAACATTTATTATTTTTCTGCAGGAAAGCTATGGCTTTTTAAATGAGTTGGTATTTATAGTAGTGGAACATTTATGCCTCTTGGGTTTTCAAAATAGACATCTGTCATTTTCAAATTATGATAATCATTACTATTAATAATTATTACCACCATTTTATTTTTACCTTTTAATTAAATGTGAAGTTCTAATAAATTGATTAGTGCTTTAGGAACAGTGTTAAATATAAATGTTTGCCATCAGCATCTTCCTTGAGTTCTATAGTTAAGAGGGAATAGTTACAATAGCAAACACTTATGTAACACCTTATTTTCTCCCCAGGCACTTCTTTAAGTACTTTGCATATGTTAGTTTAACACATTATTCCTGAGACTAACTTTATGAGATGATCACTCCCAATTTTACAATGGGAACATGGAAACTCAGAAGTGAAAAGTGCAGTAACTTACTAAAGGCACCCAAGTATATGAACTATAGAAGAATTTTATGTATAAATATAGACATATATTATATATGTCTGTCTGTCTGTCTACCTATCTATCTGTCTATCTATCTATCGCAGAAACAGGAATTCAAACTTTAGTAATCGGATTCCTTACTTGATGCCCTCAAATCCCAAGCTATGTCACCTTGCAAGGGCCTATGTTGGTGGCACCTGAAATCTTTAGAAAGAAACACAATTCTGAAATTAGAACTGAGTAGATGTGGCGTAAAGAAGCAAGATCTTAATCCATGCTTCATTACAGAGGCTATTCTCATCTCCAAGATGGCATCTTAGATCAAAAACTAAAATAGGAGGGAAGGGCTGAGACCACCCAGTCCCATCCAGTAGGTTACAGGATAAGGAATCCACAGGGAAGCTGTCTCTCCCGACATTACCCAGGTACCTAATAAAAGTCACTGGCCTATTAAAAACTGAATAAAAGAAGATGGAATTATAACTCATGCCTTTCTACTGACCTATAATTTAAAGCACTTCTGCTACTTACAGTGATAAATGACCAATAGGAATACAGGGCACGAGCGGAAATGTTTGAATCCATGTTCCTTGGGTTCTTAGATGAGGCAGCACCCATACACCTTGATCTGAAAATTATTGATTGGAGCCTAGGTAGCTCAGTTTGTTAAGCATCCAACTTCGGCTCATGTCCATGATCTCACTCCATTGGTTCAAGCCTGTGTGTCCCTCTCTCTCTGTCCCTCCCCCACTTGCTCTCTGTCTCTCTTTCAAAAATAAACAGTAAACAAAATTTTAAAAATTGAATTACTGCATACTCCCTGTGTGTGAAAGGGAAGAGCTGTTTTCAAAGTTTGTCAGTGTTCCTCGTATTGTGAGCAACAGACACAAAGCAGAAACAAAACCAAACAGCAAAGACCAGATAAACCAACACAAAACCTTAAACGCATCTGAAGAAAGGTCTGGATTTGTTTAGATTTGTCAGACAGAACTAATCCTGCTATCCTAGTTTTCAGGGGTTTGGATGTTGGTTGTTTTACTTTTTAAACATTATTTAAAAATCGTTTCATCTTTTGGGTCGCCTGTGTGGCTCAGTTGATTAAACATCTGACTTTGACTCAGGTCATGATCTCATGGGTGAGTCCAAGTCCCGCATCAGGCTCTGTGCTGACAGCTCGAGCCTGAAGCCTGCTTAGGATTCTGTGTCTCCCTCTCTCTCTGCCCCTCCCCCGCTCACTCTCTGTCTCTGTCTCTCTCAAAAATAAACATTAATTTTTCTTACATTTTTTCATCTTTCTAAAAATTGTTATTCATTTATTTATTTATTTATTTATTTATTTATTGAGGAGGGGGAGTTTTACTAATCCTACTGGCAAGAGTATGTTGTCCTTTCATAAACACATGGAAATTCTTATTTGCACTAACTTACTTTTTCTTTCCATGGAAGACTCTTTGGAAACGTAGCATCTCGTTTGGAATAGCAGTGAGTGGTGAAAATCCGTTTTTAGCATTTTGCCCATCATTTCCGCAGGGCCAATATTCTACTCTGGAAAGATGGCATTAGCTCGGTCCTCAAAAAGCAATCCCTATTCCTTAAAATAGCTCTAGGTTACCAGCCTCAGCTCACTCTTTCTTCTTACAGGTTGGAAAGGGTTAATGACTTGACTGTGTTTTCCCCGCAAGTCTTTCCAATTCAGTTTCCAGGTGCCCATAACTGCCCCCTCAGAAACAAAACACTTCAGGAGCTACTGGTCTTCTGTAGTCTATTTTCTCTCTTTCCTTACAATTTGGATTATAAAGTCAGTAAGAAACCCATCACTAGTCTCACCAGCAACAAATGGAAAATGGTCAAGTGACGCAGTTTTGAGCTCCTCGGTGCATAAATTAGATCGAGTGCGTCAATTGATTGGAATATTCTGACCTTTTCCCCTTTAAAAAGTATATTAGGGAAAAATAGGTTTGGATGACATTCTATGTTTAAAATATTCTGCATTAACGATTTAGGCAACTTCTTTGGTAAAGAGAATGGAAAGTTGGCAGGGAACACCAACACATATACTACAAACTATGGCAAAATATCCAAAGTCTATTTTACACATTGTCCACATATGGACATGCAGTGTGTTATAGAGAAGGTTTTGTGAAATGCTCAACATTAGAGGAAATGTGTGTTTTTTTAAGTGACAAGTAATAAGTCATTCTCGGCCTATGCATACATTATGAAAAAGAACATTGGAAGCTGGATACTGTTGTTTTTGTGTATGTGAAAATCTGGTCTGTATAGAACTACAGTAAATACTCAGTACATTTTTTGTTAAAAGTTTACTTCCCAATGAACAAAGTAAAGCACAGAACTAAAAATTAACTGGAAAATTATGTAGGCAATTGATCCTCCCTTTTATCATTTTTTATTTTTTTAATGTTTATTTTTGAGAGAGAGAGAGAGAGAGAGATTGCTAGTGGGGGAGGGGCAAAGAGAGAAAGAGACACAGAATCTGAAGCAAGCGCCGGGCTCTGAGCTGTCAGCACAGAACCTGACGCGGGGCTCAAACTCTTGGAGGGAGATCGTGATCTGAGCTGAAGTTGGACACTTAACCCACTGAGCTACTCAGGCACCCTGTTCCTTCCTTTTAAATGTAAAAGTCTTTTCTTCTGAATCACACTGCTTAGTCTTTTAAATAGATGTGTGTGGTGTGTATATGTGTATGTATGGTTTATCTCATATCTTCATATTTTCAGAATTAATGGAGACTTATCTTTGGGTTGAAAGAAATCTGTTAAGCAACAAATAATTCTTTTAAATCATTTAGTTAGAAATGCACATGTCTGGTTTTGTGTGTGTGTGTGTATAATTTGTTGAGATTTGGTTTGTTGGTATATCAAACATTAGTAATATTCACTTTGTTTTAATTACAGTCCACTTGTTAGGGGTCTCATATTTTTTGATAAAGGTAGCTTTTTTGTTTTGCTTTAATGTTCAGTTGAAGATGTGATGAGGAATCTCTCTTTCTAGAGCAATTGGAAGCTTTTGGTATGATTCCATTTGCCAGACAATGTGACACAGCAAACCAAATAATTCCATTACAATATTATATATGTACGTATAATATTATATTATATATCTATATTATATTTCATGTTTCTAGTGAAATTAATATGCCTCGCACACAGGCATGCTGCCATTTTTCCTAATCTGAAACAGTCTGTTATACACCTTGATGAAACGTAGACTGAAAAAATAATATGGAGACATGTGAATGAAGGTACAATGAAAATACTTCCCTTTTCCTATGCTTTGAAGGATGGCTGACAACAAAAACTAAAACCTAATAAAACAAAAACCACACCATCAGTGCCCCTACTTCTATAAACATTACTGGCAAGGTAACAGAAATGGCATCAAGTTTGTACGGATTTGAAATGGAGGTGCAGATGGATTATTTTTTCCAGTTTGCATTGTCCATAAATAAAAAAATCTTTTAACTCCCTAACATAGCATCAATAAATTAGAAAAATCAAGTAAATCAAGTAGTAAATTCCATCTCCTACCTACACAATATTTTATTTTCCAAGATGCTTTGATGTGTATCAGTTATTTTGTATCCACCTTTTTAGATAGGTAATTTAAGTCTTATCATCATCCCAGATATGAGGTATTATAAGGGATACAAGCATAAAGTAGAGAAATGTAACTATGGTGGCTGATCCTTCTAACAACCTTGTGGCATTGACAGGGCGGGTGATAGTTCCTGTCTTCAGAGGAGAAAACGGAGGTTGTGTGCACAGTCAGATTGCAGACCATACGTGGCCGAGCTAGGATCTAATCTTCTTGGGACCAGCCTAATTTCTACTCTCCCTGGACTTACTCAAATTCCATTCCATACTTTTCTAAAAGTATAGAATTAATGTTAAGCAAAGATAAATGGGCTTTTCCTCAGGATCTTTCAGATTCTCAATGTGCATAAGGATCTCCAAGAGAAGTCCTTATCATGAAATGTTTTCAAGGTTTTGGGGTCCTGAAGTCTTTTATTTTTCCCTTTTTATTTTCATTCTCCTTCCATTTAAATCTTCTGGAACTACTGTTTAGCAAAGTAGGGTTTAAGAAACATAGCACACTACCTTTGTAAGTAAAAATAGAATTTTTTTTTCCTTTCAAGTATTTAGTGAAAGTGTTGGAAAAGTGGTGCCTGATGTGCTGAAAGCAAAGAACGATGCCCCAAAGGCACTGTTCCCATTCATTTCTGGAGAGTGGTTTCTTGGGAAATCATGAGGGTCCTTTGGAGTTACCTCCAGTCTAGCAGACCAACTCTGGAGTCCGGGGAAACTTCTCTCTTGTAGAGATGATGATGATAATGATGATGATTCCACTTCTGTATGTTTCCCATCACTGACAAATCAAAGTACCATAAACATGGCGGCTTAAAGCAACAGCAATTTATTCACTCACACCCTCAGAGTCTAGAGGTCTGAAAATTATGATGTCAGCATGTCCATGGCTCTAGGAAAGAATCTTGCTTCTTCCTACCTTCTGTTAGCTCTTGGTAATTCCTGACATTCCTTAGGATGTAGCTGTATACCCCTATACTCTGCCTGTGTTTCCACATGTCTACCTTTTCTCTATATCCTTTCTTCTAAGAACACTAGTCACTTGATTGAGGGCCAGTTCGAATCTAGTATGACTCATCTGAACCTAATTACACCTGCAAAGTCTTTATTTTCTTTTTTAAAAAATTTTTTATTGTTTTTTTTTGAAAGAGAGAGCAAGCGAGCGCAAGTGGGGAAGCAGCAGATAGAGGGAGACACACAGAATCCGAAGCAGGCTCCAGGCTCTGAGCTGTCAGCACAGAGCCCGACGCTGGGCTCGAATGGACCAACTATGAGATCATGACATGAGCTGAAATCAGATGCTTAACCAAATGAGCCACCCAAACACCTCGACCTTATTTTCAAATAAGATTACATTCTGAAGTTCTGAGCAGACTTATATTTTGAGGGGACAGCGCTTACACCTCTAGAGCTGCCAAAAAAGCTTTTTTGTTGGAAGGAAAGTTTCATATACTAAAAATAAAGCTTACAAGTTTTAGATTTATAAAGAGGAGCAGTATCTACTTTTTAAATTGTCATGCAGCAACATGAACACAAGAAAGATTCAATGAACTAAAAGAAATGGCAGAGATATCATTGAATCTAATTTGATCCCTGTTGTGTATCAAAGTTTACAGAGAAGTGTAAACGTGTATACTTTCTGTTTTCATATGGTTGGATTATTATAACACATATATTTATATTTGTACCTTGAACTTCTCACTCAACTATGACAACTTTGTCATGACAATTGACATAAACCTGCAAAATTTTCTTAATTTTCCGGAAGTGCCATGATCCATATTTTTATGTAGCCACTATTCAGCATGTTTAATTGGTATTGTATAGAAGCAATTTGTATCCCAGTGAGGGCTTGTATAAAATGAAGGAGTCTCCCTTCTTGCCCATTTCTTTCTCAACCAACACTTCTGTCTTTCACCTCCCATAGAAGCAACCATTGTTGAAGATTCTTTATTTTTGTTTCTTGTTTAAATCTCTTGGTGATTTTCCTATGACTTAGGTGCCATACCTTTATTTCATGATTTTGCAGAAGTTCAGCCGCCAATGTTGGGCTAATTTAATCATGTCTTCTGAATGGCAAGATAAATATCGAACTCCACTAGAGAAAAGCTGCTAATTCCAAACAGCGCTGTTTCAAAAGAGACAAATCCTATTATGTATGTATGTATGTATGTATGTATGCATGTATGTATTTTTGAGACAAAATCTTTTTTGAAGGATAGATTTCTAATGTAGAGAGAAACAAATCCACCTTACTTTTAACTACCCAAGCAGTTAAAAGTAAGGATTTGCTGTGAATTATACATTAAAAGTCATTGATCAGCTTTCTAGGTGGATTTATGTGCGGAGTTTGTGTGAATGAGAGGAAACAGAATCAGGCTTTTAAAAAACATGATACAAGGGCCATTCTCAGATTGTGCTTTGCCTCCAGAACTTGGATAACAATTATACTGTGCAGACTATAAGTGCTATCAATGTCAACCCTATTTCAAGTTTCGGCCTTCAGCCGAACATGGCAAAGTATCAACATAATTGCTTTCCAAGCCTTGAATCTTACCCGATTGAAATGAAAAAGGGGAGGAAAAATTCTTTAATTTTGTTTGATATACATGAGGAGGAAAATAGAAATCTTTCACTAGAAATCATTCTGACCTTTTGACAATGTATAAAGAGAGGTCTTCAGATGCATGATTGGAGTCCTTTTCAGTAAACCAAGGGTTTACACGTGTTCAAATGGCCGAGAGTAGCAGAAATTGTCTCAGTTACTCGGACTTTCATGGTACTCTGAGGACAGGAACCAAATTGCCCACTACGCTCAAAGAACTTAGGTACTTGAGTTTCCTCAAAGTTTCTGGATTTCTTTTGTTTTTTGTTTACATCAACCACAACAGAAGTTCTACAGTTTTCCCCGCCTCTTTATTTGGACTTGTCTAGGGGAGAAGTGTCACATCTGGAGAATGTCTAGTTTGGGTGCATCGAGAAGGGAGATAAAGATAAATCAGAACACGGGCACTTATGGGGGTCAGTCAGCTAAGCCTCTGACTCAGGATTTCTGCTAAGTTCATGATTTCACGGTTTCTGGAATTGAGCCCCACATCCGGCTCTGCGCTGACAGAGTGGACCTTGCTTGAGATTCTCTCTCTCTCTCTCTCTCTCTCTCCTCTGCCCTTTTTGCCCACTTGCACTCTTTCTCTCTCTCAAAAATAAATAAGTAAACATTAAGAAAACAAAACAGGATGCTACTGATTACTCAGGCAAAGAAAGAGACTCTCAGATTTAAAAAACATCCACAGCAGTAACAACTTAATACTACAGAACACAATGGTTGAAAACTGATATTTTGAATAAAGCTTCTTTTGTTATATTTAGTTTCCTTCCCAGTAACAAACATGTTTGCTGTTGTATAGCTCTGTCCTTTGTTTTAGTTTCTTCCTTTGATTTCTTCTTTTAATTTAATTGTTAAGAATTTCATGTCAGGAAAAAGTACCCTGGTCTTGGAAGTAGGGGAGCAACTTTCACTGATTTGCCACTGACTTGGCTGTATCACAGCTTTGAAGGCGTAGAAGTTATATTGTGGAAGCCTGGGAGTGATGTAATGTTTCCTATTCAATGCAACGCAAAGTAATTTTGTCTATTAGAGAGGGTATGTCTCTGTGGGTCAAATTCTTTTTTTCTTTTAATTTTTTTTATGTCTTTATTTTATTTTGAGAGACAGACAGACAGCGAGTGGGGGAGGGTCAGAGAGAGAGGGAGACACAGAATCTGAAGCAGGCTCCAGGCTCTGAGCTGTCAGCACAGAACCTGATGCGGGGCTCAAACTCATGAACTGTGAGATCATGACCTGAGCTGAAGTCAGCCGCTTAACTGACTGAGCCACTTGGGCGCCCCTTTGTGGGTCAAATTCTCATTGGAACTGCTTTTAACATCTTACTGGGCTCCTCATTATTTAGTAAGTAGAATATAACCTTTTATATGAGGAATTTACTATATGTAAGTCACAGTTTTGAGCTTTGGAAAGCATTTGTAACATGGAGGTTCCCTACGTCTTGAAGGTTAGAAGTTATTTTATAAACTGTTGATTCCAAGATGTGTGCAAATCATATAAAATTGAACTCCTTACTCATAGTTTGGAGCACTTCTGGTCTTTCAAGGAAATAATAGTTGAACAGAGGTTATATTTGGAAGCAATGCAAACCTTAATTTCAAGTCTCTAGGGAAAATTCAAAAGAAAAGGGAGTGCCTTCTTAAAGCACAGCTAAACTTTTAAACATCATCTATTTGGCTATCTCTGCCACAAGGGTAAGGTCTATGTCCCACATACCAGGCTGGAGACCCTTGCTAATACACTCAATACCATGAATGTATGGAAGTCATGAGAAACTGCCATTGTCCCTCACCAGGGATCAACACGCTGAGAAGTCCCATCATACCTAGGAAAGGTATTATACCTTGGAATTTGCAATGAGACTTCCCACAAGGAATGGGGAGTTACTTTGCACCCCTAGATAAGGGGGAACTACTCGGTCTTCACTGGGATCCCATTGTCCTGCTCCAGCCGGACTTGTTGAAGTTCACTCTTCTATACCTGGAATGGAACGTGCACTATTGAAAGAGAGGAGAAGGTAGGCCTCCTGGACTCCCGTATCCGGCCCCCAGTCCATCTCCTCACGCCTGACAGTGCTGTCTCCCCCAGCCAACATGCATGGTATGTACAACCAGGTCATGTTCCTAAAGCTGCCAGGACCTCTCTCCTAGATACCAGGTGGGCACACTCTCTTTTCCACTGGTAAGATCATTTGGCTGCCTTTGTTCCCTCCATTGACCTGATGGACGATAAGGCATCATAGTACTAAATTCACCTAACAAGTCTCTTTAAAAATCTTTTAAATGTTTATTTGTTTGAGAGAGAGAGAGAGAGAGAGAGAGAGAGCGCATAAGCACAAGATTGGTAGGGGCAGAGAGAGGGAGATACAGAATATGAAGCAGGCTCTAGGCTCCCAGCTGTCAGCACAGAGATCGACACGGGGCTCGAACTCATGAGCAGTGAGATCATGACCTGAGCTGAAGTTGGAAACTTAACCAACTGAGCCACTCAGATGCCCCCAACAAGTCTTAAATAATAGCTGACAAAGCCTGTCCTTACCAATCACTGAAATACCTCTAATGGGAAAATTTGCCCTACAAAGTAGAAAAGATCTTACGTTACTGCATCTCAGAGTCACCCGTGCCAGCGTCCAAGCAATGCTGTATGTGTTCATACCTGTGAGTTTGCTAATGTATCACCTTTATTAAATCACAGGAGGTCACAAGTGAATGCCCTGAGGGATCTGACCCCTAGATAGGGGTCTTAGTTAATGAGGTGTTTGGATTATGGGGCTCTTGGAGGGGAAAAAAAACAAAACCTGGTACTTATTTTTTTTTTATTGTTTAAAGTTTATTTTTATTTGTTTATTTTTTTGAGAGAGGTAGAGAGCAAGCAAGGGAGGGGCAGAGAGAGAGAGAGTGAGGAGAGAAGAATCCCAGGCAGGCTCTGCACTGTCAGCACAGAGCCTGACGCAGGGCTCCAACCCTGAGAGCATGACCTGAGCTGAAATCAAGTCAGATGCCTAACCGAAGAAGCCCCCCCTAGGCGCCCCCAAACTGGTACTTATTTTGAGAATCTTTCTCTTCATCTGTGTTTTCTTTTGCCTATGCCTCTAATGTTGATGTGGCATCTGCCACCAAACCAGCCACCTCCGTGTTCACAGAACCCCCTGCTGACTTCCCAGGGTCCCTGTGGAAGAGGGGTGCATTAACGATTCTAAGAGCCAGG